GCTGTGCAAAGCAAAATAATGAGAGTTGAAATTCAGGGAATTCTATTTTATAATTTTAACAAAGGGAAACACACCTTGGTTTGAATGTTGCCTTCATTAATCAGGTTATATATCTAGCCTTCACCTACCTGATTATATAATAGAGAGGATGGACTCTCTGTTTTAGGGAGGAAAAGTTGGAAAATAAATGAGCGCACAAGAACAGCAGGTAGGAGGAGGGTGGGAGAGACGGCAACCCCTCCAAGCTGACTTTGCTAGCAAGCACCTTCCATGTTCCTGGCCAGAAGCTACCAAGCTCCCTGGAATTTCTGTTAAAAGGGAGTGGATTGGTGTTTGTTGAAGGCCTGCTGCTACTGAGACTTCACACGTTTTTCGCATGTGATCTTCACCAGCACCCTTTTGAGGTAGATATCACTACTGCATTTATTTTACACCCGAGGAAACTGAGGCTCAAGTCAGGTAAGCTACTTACTCAGAGTCACAGGTTTTAAGTGCTGGAGCTGAGATTCACACTGTCTTAAGCCTATCTTGAGCCGAGGCCATGTTTTCCTTTAACTTGTATGCCAGAAGCCATTGTCAAGGACTGCCAACTCCTTAGAGCAACCAGGTATCAATCACACATCCAGGGCTTTTTATTAACAAGTTGAAATTACTGAAATTCAACACATATTTATTTAGCAGCTACTGTGTGCAGGCACTACCCCAGGGGCTGGCTATATAGCAGTGAACGAGACAGATACAAGTCTTTGCCTTCGTGGAACTTCTATTTCTATGGGGATGACTGATCACACACAAATAAGTAAATGAAGATCATTATTGATTATAATGAACGATGCAAAGGAAATAAACACAGTAATGGGATGAGCGCTCGTGGTGTGGGTGAGGGGTTTGCTGCTTAAACCGAGTGACCATGAAAGATGTCTTCTGAGGAGGTGACCACTGAGCCGAGGCCTGGAGGCTGGGAAGCAGGCAGCCAAGCAGAGAGCTTAGGGAGGTGCATTCTCAGCAGAGAGGAGAACAAGGATCAAGGGCTCCAAGGTGGGAACATTTGTCAGTGAGTAGAAGGAAACCAGTATTTGTGGGGGTGGGGAACAGGCGAAGAGTGGTGGGGGATGTCAGAGAGGAAGACGGGTCACATTCTATAGGGGGAAGCACTTTGATTTTATTCTAAGGGAAGGATTTTAGGTAGGGAAATTATGTGATTTGGCTTACATTTTTAAAGCTTTCTCTTACCGGAGAATAGACTGTAGGGGGCAAGAGAGGAGGAAGGGGGATGAGGTAGGAGGCAGCTGCTGAAGTCCAAGGAGAGCTGATGGCAGTTGGGACTCGCGGGGAAGCAAGGAGATGGAGAGAAGTCAGACTGTGAGATGTGTTTTGCAAGTAGAGCCGACAGGCCAATTATAATATGTGTAAAGTTTTGCTGCCCAACACAGTAACTATGGCCACTGTGACTATTTAATTTAAGATTAAAAAAATTTAGTTCTAGGGTGCTCGGGTGGCTCAGTCGTTAAGCGTCTGCCTTCAGCTCAGGTTATGATCCCAGAGTCCTGAGATCAAGCCCCTCGTCGTCGGGCTCCCTGCTCCGCGGGAGGCCTGCTTCTCCCTCTCCCACTCCCCCTGCTTGTGTTCCTTCTCTCGCTGTGTCTCTCTCGGTCAAATAAATAAATAAAATCTTGAAGAAAAGAAAAACCTGAACAAACTGCAAAGTGAATAATTCTAAATAATAATAATAATAATAAAAATTTAAAAATTCAGTTCTTCATTCACACTAGGCACATTTCAGTTGTTCAGTAACCACGTGTGGCTAGTGGCTACTAGTGTGTTGGACAATGTAGGCATAAGACATTTACATCATCACAGAAAATTCTGGACAGTGATGGTAAGACCGGCGCTAGAACAGTGGCCAGTACGTTTTAGGAGTTAAGTAAATGATAGATCCTAAGTATAGTTATGTTGTTAGGTCTTTTTCATCCCGCATATATTTACTTGTTCAACCACCTCTTTGTTAAATACCTTTTTTGCCCTTGCTTTATTATATAGAAAAGTCATGCACTGCCTGGGTTCTCAAACAACACCTCTTTGCTTTTCACATGTATGCATTTGTTCAACAGATGTTAATAGTGCTTACTCTGTGCTTGGGGTTGGAAGGGTTGTGGGCAGGGGGCATATAAGAATATAAGAATGTGATTGGGAAAGATCACCTCCTAGGAAAATGGACCTTATGAGTGAGATCGAACCGGGTACTTGAGGGCTCTAAATCCCCCCAGGAAGAAGAGATTGATTCTACTGGGGCTGGAGGTGGGGGTTGAGAAGAGGGGAGTTTGGACATAGCCTGGGCTCTGTCACTGACAGCTGGCCAGACAGAACCTTGACCTGAGACCTACTCCCCAGAGTCAGTTGTGTACCTATACATCACAGTTTACAAAGCACCCTCACGCATGCCCATCTTCCAGAGTCTGGGGGAGATGCAGGGCCTGGCCAGAGCCCTCACCTGGGTGACCTGGTTAGAGCCAGGAGCCAGACTTAATGTTGGTCTCCTAAGACACCCTGCTCTCCTCAGGACTGAGGCTTTTCTCTGCAGGTTGCCAGCCTGAGGGTGACGAGCTCCTCCTCAAAGAAGCCTGCTCCCTCCCTGATCTCCCTGGGGGTCGTGTTCAGCTTGCAGGCCTACCAGGATGGAGGGGAATGCCGAAATGGAGATGCTGAGGACACTGAAGGGGCCCTCCACGGGAGAGGTCAACGTGCACCTGGTGGCCAGAGACAGTCCAGGTTCCAGCTCTCACCTGCCCGCTACTGCCTTCATCATCCCAGGTGGGCCAAGCCAGGGGCCTGGGGGGAGTTGTGGATCCCGGAAAGAACATACTTTCACCTGCCTACACATGCATGGGGCAGGGCCACCAGGCTCACCTGTGTCATATCTGTGTATTTGTTCGCAGCCGGCTCGGCCACCCTTGGCCTGCCCAGCAGTGCCCTGGATGTTTCCTGTTTTCCGCGGGAGACGATCCATGTGGGCGCTCCGGAGCGAGTGGCTGGCAGCGTCCCCGTCACGGCCACCGTTCTGCCGCAGTTAAGCGCGGGGCCTGCGGCCAGCTCCAGCGCCACCACCGTGGGGCTCCTGGAGTGGACCGAGGCTGCGGCCCCGCCTCCTGGGAGCGGCCTGCGGGTCAGTGTCTGTGGGGATTGGCGGGGGCCCTACGAGCCCCACCTGTGGGGCGGGGCCAGCGGGCCGGAGGAGGGGCCCGAGGCGAAGGAGGGGGAAGGGGCTCGGGATGGAGGGTTCTGGTGTGCGGCTTTGAGTGAGGGACTCCAGGGGCATGGCTTGGGTGGAGGCGCTCGGGGTCTGGTGGGCTGCTAGGGGCGTGGCTTGGAGGGAGGCACCCAGAGCAGAGCCTTGCGGAGTAAGGCGGCGGGAGGGGACCTTGCCGATCAGAGGCGGGTCGAGGGGGTACAGGAGTCCAGTCCTCAGACCCTCCCACGCTCCAGTTCCGGATAAGCGAGTACGCACCGCTGAACATGGTAGGAGCGGAGCAGCCCCCGAGCCCCGAGCTACGGCCCGAAGGTGTGGCCGAATATGAAGATGGCGAGGCCCCGGCGGGAGGTGGCGATGCGGGCACCCAACAGCCGGGTAGGACCCACCAGTCCCCAGGCTGGGGCTCTGCCCGGGCGGGTCGAGGCCCGAGCTCCCTGAGGAATCTCCATTGTGGGGGTGGAGGAGGATGGAGTGGGTGGCCTGGGTTCTGCGGGTGCGCCCGGGGGTTGGTCCTAAGATAGAGAAGACTGTTGGGGGCCTGTCCAGGGGAGCCAGAGGGGGCGTGGGCTCTGAGGCGGGCGGAGCCTGAGTGTCGCTGTGATGGATGGGAGGCCTGAGGCCCCTCTGGCCCCCACAGCGGACCTCCCCCAGGATCCTCCAGAAGATCCCCCCCAGGATCCCCCAGAAGATGATGGCACTTGTCAGTGCCAGGAGTGTGGACCTCAGCAAAGCGCGGGTCCAGATGCTGCTGGTTCCTCCAATGATGACTGCCCGCCACTGTTCCAAGAGCGGTAAGGGGGAGGGGATTGCAGCCCCACTTGCTCTGCCTTGGGGGCCCCATTCTCCATTCCTGCTCAGGGCTTAGGAGAGGGACTGGGTGGTGTAGGGTGGGTGGTTCTTTCTCTCAGGCCATCTGTCCTTCAGGTCAGTCATAGTGGAGAACTCCTCAGGCCAGAACTCCTGCACCAGCACTTCTGAGCTTCTCAAACCCATGAAGAAGAGGAAGCGCAGGGAATACCACAGCCCGTCGGAGGAGGAGTCAGAGCCTGAGGCCTTGGTAGGAAGAGGGCAGTGGGGAGAGGAAGGGGAGGCTAGAGGCTACCTGTCAATAACCACTATCCTCTCCATTAATCCAGGCTGTGGGGCTGGGCCAGAGAAGACACATGATGACTCACTCATCGTATTTTGGGGTCCCATTTTGACTCAGGTCCTGTACTGAGTTAGAAGAAAATGATTAAGTCACCCTCCTGCTTTTCTGGGGCTTCCATCTCAGTCTAGTGTCAGGGCTAAGTCACATTCACATACACCAGCACCCAAGTAGATGAGTAGCAGATGAAAAGCTCCATCACTGGAGCCCCGTCAGGAGGCCGAAGGCAGAGAAGCTGGAAGAGACAGCATGAAAGCTCCAGTGGGCAAGTAAAATCAACACACAGCAGATCTGAGGAATGAGGAGGATTGTAGTCAGACTGTGAAACTAGGGGCTGTATGCTCACGGGAGTTTGTGTCCACGTGGTCGGGGGTTGCCCCGCTGGAGCTTTGTGCCTGCCGGTAGCCTAGAAGAAATTCCCCTTGTTTGGGGCAGAATACCGTGTGACCAGAGAGCCAGGCAGGGGCCTGGAATAGAGGCTGGGGCTTCACCCCAACCCATGAGGACAGGAATCAGGCTTGCCTTCCACAGGAGAAGCAAGAAGAAGGAAAGGATCCAGAGGGCCAACCCACTGCTCGCACCCCAGAAAGTGAGGAGTGGAACAGCCAGCCTGGTATGGGGGCCTCTGTGTGTGTGTGTGTCTGTGGGTCTGTTGATGTGATGTGTGTACACACCTCTGGAGGTGTGAGGCTGGGAGTATGTGTCACGCATGTGATGGTGTGTGGTACGTACATAGATGAGTATAAAGTAGTGCATGTGTGAGGGAGAGAGAAAGTGCGAGAGAGACAACGTTTCTGGCTCATGCATTAGTGTACGTGTGTTTGGAGAGGGATTATATCGTGTGTTTGTTTTATCCTCTATTATCCAGTGTGAATAGGCCTCACTGCCAGGCTCGGAAACCAAAGACTTAAACAGCTTTTAATGGCATCACGTGGCATTGCTTCCCTTTGGTGGTGTGAGCAAGTTTGTAGGGGCCATTGGTCTGACCTTGCTATTGGAGCTCCCATTCTGGCCTTTTGGTTCTTAAAAAAAAAGGGAACAAAGGCCATTCAGAGTCAGCTCTGGCCCTCGGGCCATCTCCACTCCCATGTGACAACAGTCAGCAGGAGCTGAGTAACATTTATCACACTTGTAATCACCTAGGTCCTGCATAACAGCTTGTTGAATTCTATCTTCCTCCCTCAGAACTGAATTTATTTTATTAATCATTGTATTGCTGGTGCTCATCTCAGCGACTGGTGTTGAGTAGACTCCCAATCAATGTTTGCTCTGTACGTGAATGCATGAGTTGTGTGTTGGTGATTCCTCTCAGACCATGGCTCAGTTGCCTGAGTTACTGTCTTTTCTGTCTCAGAGAGAGCCAGAGGGTGAAGTGAGTTCTTAGGACATTCTGCCTTGATGGATCCAGTGCCGGCCAGAGGAACCCAGTCTGTGTCCTGGGCTCCAAACTCTGTAGTGCCCGTTCGAAATTCTGCCCATTGCAACCAAACCAGATTTTCACTGCTGTCTCTCACATCAGAAGCCAAAAGCATAGCTCTCATTGATTTATGGCCTCTTAAATCTTACATAGAGGAAGGAGACAGTGTCCAACCACCCAAGACAGTGGCTCAACTGCTCTGTCTTACTTAGGGAAATACATTCATGGATCAGCATTCTTCTAGCTGGGTCCTGTTGAGCAGTACAGAATTATCTTTTGATTTATACCTCTTGCCCTCTCAACGGTAAACATTGGTGTGGCATTGATTTCTGGATATTTTCCTCCTTGTGCTTTTTCTCCTTTTTTCAAGGGAAGATACTGTCTCGGTTGGCAGAAGTTTGCATTTATGGCTAAGTTTTTTTCCACTTGTTTTTGGGGTCTTTTGGCAGAAGAATCTGGCGTGAGGGGGTGGGCTTGGCAGGGTTTTTTGAGTGTCCTGTGGTATGGAGAATCCGTATTATGTTTACACTCTGGCAGTTGGATGGCCAGCTATTGGGTTCATGTTGTACAGGCCTGATGTGTCTGGTCCTGACAGAATGTTCCAGTAGTTTATGAGTTAGAGCCGTGTAACTCGTGTATGTACTCAGGCACTCTCTCTCTTTCATGTATCCACTTTATCTTTTCAACAGCCACTTCGTGTGAGGAATCTTTTTTAAAACACCGTGGTAAAAGTCTTCACAATATATGTAATCAGTAATAGCTATTCTGATATTCTCATGTCACCTGTCAGTCTGCCCACATCCAGATTAGGTATCTCTGGTGGCGTTCTTCAGGGTCAGCTTGTGACAGCCTTTTCAGATTCAGAGCAGCAGTCCTCCAAGCATCCTGTTCTGTCTCCCTGTAGTTACCATAGACATACGTTTTTGCCCTTTTTTTTTTTTTTAAGATTTATTGATTTATTTTAGAGAGTGGGAGGGACAGAGGGAGAGGGCAAGAGAGAATCTCAGGCAGACTCCCTGCTGAGCACAGAGCCCAATGCTGGGCTCGATCTCACAACTCTGAGATCATGACCTGAGCTGAAATCAAGAGTTCGTTGCTTACCTGACTGAGCCACCCAGGCGCCCCACATTTTTACCCATTCTTAATTAGGTTGTTTATCTTCTTACTATTAATTTTTTATATATTCTGAATATAAGTCCTTTGTCAGATGTATATGTTACAAATATTTTTTCCCAGTCTGTGGCTTGCTTTTTCCTTTCTAAGTGATGTTTTTTGAGTAGTAGAATGTTTTCATTTTGATGGTGTCCACTTTATCCATTTTTTGCAGTTAGTGCCTCATACATATTTTTACGAAGTAGTGTTTAACAGCTTTATTGAGATGGAATTCACATACCATGTTATTCACCCATTGACTTGTACAATTCAGTGGTTTTTAGTGTATTCACGGATTTGTGCAACCATCACCACAATCAATTTTAAAGCATTTTCATCATTCCAAAAAGAAGCCCTGTACCCATGAGCTGTCATTCCCCCCAAACCACCCACCTCCTGTAGTCCTAGGCAACCCCAAGTTTATTTTCTCTGGATATGGATTTGCCTATTCTGGTTATTTCACATAAATGGGATCATATAATACATGGCCCTGTGTGACTGGCTTCTTTCACTTAGCACAGTGTTTTAAAGGTTTATCCACTTTGTAGCATGCATCAGTATCTCATTCCTTTTTACTGCTGAATGAGCCCATTGTGTGAATGTATCACACTTTATCAATCGATGGGTATATGGGTTGCCTCCATTTCAGGGCTATCATGAGTAATGCTGATATGAATATCTGTATACAAGTTTTTGTGTGGATATGTTTTCATTTTTCTTGGGTGTGTACCCAGGAGTGAATTGCCGGGTCATATGGTAACTCTATGTTTAGCCTTTTAAGGAACTGCTAGGCTGTTTTCCAAAGGGACTGTACCATTTTCTCTTCCCCCAGCAGCATATGAGGGTTCCAGTTTTTTCACATCCTCATCAATGCTTGCTGTTGTCTTTTTTTATTATAGCCATCCTAGTGGGTGTGAAGTGGTAGCACATTGTAGTTTTGATTTGCATTTCCCTGATGGCTAATGATGGTGAGCATCTTTTCATGTGCTTATTGGCCATTTTTATATTTTCTTTGGAGAAATATTTATTCAGAGCCATGCCATTTTTTAATGACATATAAGAAACATATTTTACATCAACATACAAGGAATGCTATGTGGAGTTGGGGAACAAATTGAGAATGAACATGTGATTCAGTACAAGTCATTAATCAGTATGACTCTTCTAGCAATGCCTTCTTTTTATTTTAATTTTTTATTGTTATGTTAATCACCATACATTACATCATTAGTTCTTGATGTAGTGTTCCATGATTCATTGTTTGTGCATAACACCCAGTGCTCCACGCAGAATGTGCCCTCCTTAATACCCATCACCAGGCTAACCCATCCCCCCACCCTCCTCCCCTCTAGAACCCTCAGTCTGTTTTTCAGAGTCCATCATCTCTCATGGTTCGTCTCCCCCTCCGACTTACTCCCCTTCATTCTTCCCCTCCTATCTTCTTTTTCTTTTTTCTTAACATATCTTGCATTATTTGTTTCAGAAGTACAGATCTGTGATTCAACAGTCTTAGCAATGCCTTCTTAACTGAGGTCCCTAGTCTAAATTTACATGCAAAATTCTGTGAATTATTTATTTTTCTGGGGAGATGGTCCATGGTTTTCATTAGGTTTCCAAAAAGGTCCATTTATACTTACTAGAAACCAAAAGCCAGGTAAAGAGTAGACCATAGCGTTATGGAGCCCAGCCTCTTCAGTTTTGTGTTCCCAGTGAAAAGTCTGGCTAGAACCATTAATTTCCAAATTCTCTCTACTTTTTTTTTTTAAGATTTTATTTATTTATTTGAGAGAGAGAGAGAGAGCATGAGAGAGGGGGTAGGGTCAGAGGGAGAAGCAGACTGCCCACTGAGCCGGGAGCCCGATGTAGGACTCGATCCCAGGACCCCAGGATCATGACCTGAGCCGAAGGCAGTCGCTCAACCAACTGAGCCACTCAGGTGCCCCAACAAATTCTCTCTGCTTAAACGACTGAAGCAGTGCTGAAGAAGCTTCCTAAGAGAGTGAACAGAAAGAGAAAAAATGGAAGGGAATTACTGTATTTCTAGGGGTCCACCATTGAGGAGCAGGGTTGGGGTGGGAGAAAGAAGAACCTCTGATGGCAAGAGAAGTGGAGGAAGATACATCTAAGAGAGCACAGCAAGAAGGAAACGCTCAGATGGAAGAAGGGTTGGTAGCACGTGGAGATCAAGAGAGTTGAGGAATGGGAAAGGTCATTGGACTGTGGCCCTGGTGACTCGAGAACAACTTCACTAGTGCACAGAGATAGGCTTGAGACTGGGTGATTCAGAAGGAAATGTGTCAGAAGCATGTAAGGTTGTTCATAATACCCCCTTATCTTTTAAAGTCTGCAGGATATGGGGTGATATCCCCTTTTTTATTTCTCTTATTACTATGTATGCCTTCTCTGTTTCTTTTTTTCCCAGCCTTATTGAGATATAAGAGTTCGGACTAAGGAAAACACAATATTAGCCCTTAGAGAGCTCATAGTCCAATGTTAGGGAAAGATTTATGAACAAGTAGTTATAATGCAATGGTAGAGTAAGTGTTGTGTTTGAGGTATGTAGGTAGGAAGGACCGTCACAGAACAAACTGCCTCATGTAGTCAAGGAAGACTTCATGGGGTAGATGGGGTGACATTCCATCAATGCATCCATACATCCATGCATCCAAGCATCCATGCTTCCATACATCCATACATCCAAGCATCCACGCATCCATACATTCCTGCATCCAAGCATCTATGCATCCAAGTATCCATGTATTCATGCATCATATATTCATGCATCCAAGTATCCATGCATCCATATATCCATGCATCCAAGCATCCATACATCCATGCATCCAAGTATCCAAGCATCCATGCATCCATACATCCATGCATCCAAGCATCTATACATCCATGCATCCATATATCCATGCATCCATACATCCATGCATCCATACGTTCATGCATCTATACATCCATGCATCCATGCATCCATACGTTCATGCATCTATACATCCATGCATCCATACGTTCATGCATTCATACATCCATGCATCCAAGCATCCATGCATCCATA